GTGCGAGTGAGGTAAGTAAATTATGGTAAAGCCCTTCGATTTCAAAGCATGTTTTCAATTGTTTTTGAGATGGTGGCAAGGTTAAATTGATTTTAAATCAGTTTTATCAGTATTTGGGTGTGATTAAACTGAAATGGAAAAGTGTGATGATTTTATGGGAATTTCATTGTTTTTCGGGAATTGAGCGTGATTAGCATGAACACGGGAATTTCATTGTTTTTCTGGAATTGAGCATGATTGGAATGAAATTGTTTTTGTTGCATTGAGTTGAGCATGCCTATTTGGAATTGACTGAACTGTTTTGATGGACTGAGAGTTGTAAATGTTGAGCTTTCTGTTAAATCCATGGTCACATGGAAATTTTTCGGTTTATGTCTGAGATTTGAGATTGATTGTGAATGATGAATTTTTCTGGAAATCCTGCATGGTTCTGTCTCGGATATAGTCATGATTACTGTGCCCGCTAGTGGGAGGTTTATAAACGCTAGCACATGTCGACATGTATTTCTGTAGAACCGGTTCACCCTGCCAATGGGGTTAAACACTGGCACTACCTGACGCCTGCCAGTGGGAGTGTTTTAAACACTGGCCATGACTTATAGATGAGACTACTGATGAGTTTTATCATGCAGGAATGGTTTATCATTGAAAGTTCTGTTATGTTTACATGGTTTATCTGGCATGCTAAAGTTTTTACCGAGGGCTATCCATATTTACTTACTGAGTTATCTCATAGTTTTCCTTGTCCACCATTTCAGGAATCGAAACCGAGGACGAGGAAACCAAGGGGAGTGACGAGGTAGAAGGCTAGCCATTCGAATTGGATATAAGTTTAGATTTTATCATCCTTTAGTAAAATTGATTTTATTCTTGAGATTTTGGTGATTTGAATAAGTTCCGAGCCTTGTGCATTTGTGGGAACCGTCTCACGAGTGCACGGCGTCTGCCACGTCCCTGGATTTGGGTTCTGGGGCGTGACAATGTGACAGTTAAATAATTTCATGTGGCATTGTTTTATTTTTTATTTTTTTGATGATGTGGCAATAATATATATTATAATTATGTTATATAAATAAATAAAAATGTCACATAGATTAATATGTATATTTTAATTAAAAACAAATAAAATTACCTTATTACCCTCCCCTCCCAATCCCTCTTCTTCCCCTTCTTTCTTTCTCTTTCTTTCTTTCTTTCCTACCCTGGGATAGGCTGGGTTCCGTCGGATGCAACTATTGGGTTCGGTGGAAACCCAGCCTTGCTGGATTCGTCGAGCAGCCAAGGCTGGGTTCATCGGAACCCAACAGATCTGGGTTTCGACGAACCCAGCAAGGTTGGGTTCCGTCAAACCGAGTTGGGCTAGCTTCCAATCAAACCCAGCTGGGCTAGGTTCCAATCGAACCCAACAAGGCTGGGTTTCAACCAAACCTAGCTTTGCTGGGAAAGCTGGGTTCGACGAAACCCAGCAGCTGGGTTCATGTTTTTTCATTCTGCTTTCCATTTCCATTTCCATTCCCAGTTGTTAATAAATTCGGGGGTTTATTTACAATTTGATTGCATTTTTATTAGAATTTGATTAAAGTTTGATTGTATTTTTGTTGGAATTCGATTAGAGTTTGATTGGTATTGTTTATTGAAGGGTTAATTTGATTTGATATGATCTGCAGGTTTGCGATTTCAATGAAACCCAGTAACTCAAGTTCCCCAAGAAAAGAGAAGAAGAAGAAAAGGGTTAAGATCGGTTTTGTAGATGGAGTGGAGATGAGAAAGCATTCACAGAAGAAGAAGAAGAAATGGGTTAAGATCAATTTTGCAAATGGAGTGGAGATGAGAGAGCATTCAAAGAATAAGAAGAAATGGGTTAAGATTGATTTTGTAGAGAGTGAAGATGAGAGACCAGTTTGCAGGCAACGTGCGATCCATTGGAGGGGCTTTGGCATGAAGAAGATGACATGTCATAAAAAAAAAGTCCAGATCATCTTTTTAAGTTGTGCTCGCTATGTCATAAAAAAAATATAAAAAATGCCATGTGGCCGAGTTAACGGCCCAAATTGACAGAAGGACTAACGAAATGCATTTTGTATAGTTGAGGGATCAAAAAAGTGCAAAAAATTGTTAAGGGACCAAAAATGTGCAACTCATTATAGTTGAGGGACCAAATTTAGCATTTAACCTTTGAAGATTAATTAATGTTTTAAAGTCGGAACACCAAAGCCGGCTTTATGTTTTTGTAGCTAGCTGTCCAAGAAAACAGAATGTGCAGCAAACTCACAAAGCTGGCTTTGCGTTTTGCAGCTGGCTCTACGAAGAAAGCAGAATGTGCTGAATCCCGTAAAGCCGATTGCATAAATGGTAAGCCGGCTGTACAGAGCCGGCTCTAGGAAGTTAAGCCGACTTTCTTGACAATCCTACAACTCGAGCTTTGCGTCTTGTAGAGCATTTAATGACCCCCAACGGCTAAAAACGGTTATTTTTGAACAAGAGGCTATAAATATGATTGGTAAAAAGATCTGAAAGAGGTTTAGAGAGCATTGCATTGAATATCTTTACCTACCTACATGAGCTTTAACTTGAGTTTTTGATCTTTGAGAGATCTTTACTTGTAATCCTCTTCTTGTTCTATTTGTGAGTGATCTTGGGGGTGTGATTAATCCTTCAGGAGTGATCTATAGAGAGGATTCTTAGGGTTTATATGTAAAGGGGTGAGGTTTGAGAGAAATAATCATCTTCTTGTAAAAGGATTGAGTGACGCTTTTAAGTCACCGTTGTTGTTGTTAGTGAAAAATGTGGAGAAAATCCTTGGTGAGTGAAGCCATGGTAGAGGATAAGGCTCCAAGTGGTTGGACCGAACCTCTATAAAATCATTGAGCATGCTCTTCTTCTCTACTCTCTTTATTTTTGGTTTTGTGATTGCAACAAGGGGAGAATTTTTGGAACTCCAACTCACCCCCCCTCTTGGAGTACATTGAGTCAACAGTTAGAAGTCTTGAAGACTCTTTTAGATACATTCATTGAATATCGTTTACCTACTAACTTAAAATTCTATTGTTTTAACTTGTAAGATTGATCTTTAAGTTATCATTATTTATAATCCTTTACTTTCTTTGAGAGATATTTGGAGGTATGATTAACGCAAAATACCCAAATCCACCCCTAAACTATAGTGCTAGGGATGGATCCACCCCTGAACAAAAAACGGGGACAAATACACCCACAAAGTTTTCAACTTGGACAAATAACACATTATTTGACGGGCCATGTCAACTGCCGTCATCTTCTCGTTACTGGCGTGCTTAGACATTTTAAACATGGTGCAGGTTTTTTTGCCTTCGTGAATGTTGAACTGGCCCATTCCCACCCATTTTAATCCTACGTGGTGATTTTTTTCCCTTTTTCATTACACATCAACTAGGCCCCACCTGTAAAATTCCATAAAACCCTTAAAAAACCCAAATTTTATCGGTGTCTTCCCCTTTCCTTCCTTCTTCTCCTAAAATCATGGGTTAAGGTTTCTCTTTATCCTCTAAATCTGGGTTAAGGAAAGCTAATTCCACGGCATATTCCTCTAATTCTCAATCATTAGGACTTGAAGCTTCTTTTGGGTTGAGGGATTTTGGGTTGATTGAGCACATATACGAAGGGCGTCAGATGTTCTGCGAGTGTGGATTAAAGGCACCGAGGTGGACTTCATGGAGACCATGGAGCATTGGTAGACGTTTTTATGGGTGCCTAAACTTCTTGAATGCTGTACGCATAATTTCTTCGTTATGGGTATGTAATTTTATTTTATCTTGTAATAAATATTTACACTTGGAAATATTTTTCATGTAGGGTTTGAGGTGTGCATACTTTTTTGGCATGACTTTGAACTGACAATTGAGAGAGCTATTGAGCGTTTAAAATTGTTGATTAATAAAACAATTTGTATAAGTAACGAAATTGCAGCTTTGAAAAGGCAATTAAAACAAAGAAATGTGGGTGGAACTGCACCTGTGTTAGATGAGTCACCTGTATTGGTTGAGTCAAGCCATGCCACGTCAAGTGCTAACATGTAGGAATTTGGCCAAAGAAATGGAGTTGAATTGGAGGAAATTATACAAAATGACGTGTCAAGAGCTGTTGATGATGTGAAGAGAAAGTTGGATGCCTCAGTTTCAGCCTCTGTCCATTCTAAAATTAGGAATTAATCTGTACTTATCTACTGGCTTTGGGGTTTGGGTTAGTATTGGTTATGTTCATTTGGTTCTTATTTTGAGAACCTTGCTATAAGGTATAGGGGATGTCATATTTTGTTTGTTTGTTGGGGGCATGGCATATTCTACTTAGTTGTAAGAACATTTTGGTCATGTCCTTTGTGGCAGTAACCAAATGTAATTGACTTTTTTTGCAATGGACAATAGCTAAATCACAATCATGATGCTACCCTGAAACATGCCACTATAGAAGCAAATTTAATTGAATATAATGCCATTGAAATAAAGTGAGACAAGACATAATAAAGCAAGGCATTATAACCACATGTACATCCCCAAAACAAGGCATAACAACCAACTGTCAAATGTGATTACAAACCACCAACATATGCATACAGAAGTTTAAAGTACATCCCTAAAACAAGAAAATATAAAATGACATTGAGTCATGCTCCCTCTTTTCCTTTTACAGACGATTACTTTGTCTTCTTTCTTGAGTCATTTTTGCCTTCACTGATGACTACTCCTCCAATCTACATAATATACATACTAGTCATCAAACATTTGAAATTTAATTTGTGAAATAAATATTCAAGCACAATAATTCTAACAAAAAACTTACACAATCAATCTTTCTTTTGGCCCTTGTTTCCCTTTTAAGTGATTCCTTGCCTTTGGCATCATTCACCCTGTTTTTGGCAATTTTTTGCAGTTTTTTTTTGCACATTCTTCCCTTTTCCTTTTCCTGTAGTCACCTTGGGTTTTTGACTGGCCTTTTTCTTTTGATGCTTTTTATTAACCTAAAATTGTAGCATTGAAATTTAAGCCAACAAAAAAGACAAAAATTGACGTGAGGTAATGTAAACTTATATTGCTTTGACTAGTCCCCACTAACTCCTCCTTTCTAGGACATCTAGCTTTATTGTGTCCCTGTTGACCGCACAAGCTACAACTCATCACAAACCCATGCTTGCACAACCTACTGAATTTCTCCACCTTAACTTTCTTAGGCTCATGCTTATCTTTTCTTCTATTCCTCCTTGGTCATCCTGGTGGTGTTCTCAACATTGGTGGTAAACAACCTCCTTCTGGTCTTCTCTTCAAGACCTCATTGCCTCTAAGGCACTCCAATGCAGTCCCATAAGCTTGCAAGTACTTTTCCTTCTTATAATGCTTATGAACAAAATCTTCATAATTCCAATTTATGTACCTAACGGCTGACAAGACATGAGGGTAGGGGATTCCAATTAAATTCCATTCTTTACATGAACAATTTTTTGCCATGAAATCAATGACATGTGGCACATCAGAAGTAGTATCACACATAGCAAATGAAGGGTTCCCATTCCACTTGACTTAGCACTACATGGACCTCACGGTATTTTCCTTTATCTTTTTCATCACTCTAGGTGCAATATCATTCGGCCATGTCTCTGCAAACAATCTTCTTTCCCTGAGTCTCTCCATCAATTGGTCAATTAAAGTTCTAATCATAGAAATGATTGCCTTACACCATGCAGCCAGGATCCATGAATTAAATGCTTCACACATGTTGTTATCAACAACATCACACTTATAGCCTTCATTGAAGAATGCCTTGCACCAAAACCTTCCTAGTAGATCCATCATCTCAACATAAGCTTCCTCGGATACTTCCCTCAACTCCTTTATTTTCTCCAAAAATTCAATCTAGTATGATGCCCTTGTAGCTATCCAAAAGGCCAGTTTGATATCATCCCCTCTGTTTCTCTTTACAAGGTTGCAGTATAAGTGTCTCGCACAATATCTGTGATTTATAAGTGGCAAAGCCTCTGCCTTTACATAGATAATTCGCTATAAGATTAATTTAATAAATCAAGTTATTTAAGAACATAACAAGTAAAATATCAAGAATATACAAAATAATGAAAATACATACTAGATGCTTGTCAGATATCATTGTATAACCATGCCCAATTCCAAGGTCCAAATCATATGCGAGCCTTTGCCTAAACCATGTCCATGAATCATTGTTCTCAAATTCGACTACATCCCATGTAATTGGGTACATCTGGTTATTTCCATCACGACCAACAGCAGACAATAGTACACCCTTACAAATTCCCTTAAGAAAACAACCATCAACTCCAAAGATTCCTTTACAGCCATTCTTCCAACCATCTTTGATAACTTTCAAGCAGACATACATTCTCATGAACACTCTCTCACCAGCATCATTTTCTTTAGTTTTAATGAAAACTGAGTTTCCAAGATTGACCTCCTTCAAATACCCACCAAATGAATGAATCATGGCATACTCATCCTTAAAACTCCCCTCCATCTCCTTCAATAGCATTTTCTTGGTTCTAACACATTTTTTATAATTGATACTAACCCTCAACTCATTGTATGCAAATATCATCCTATCTTTGCATTTCAAGAGATAGCATAAATTCTTGATTTAAAGTACTTAACAGCCATCAGAGTTGTCATCATCTTATTTTTTGAATTTCTAATACATATATGTTCAAAGTAGTGTGTTTTTACTTGGAAACTGTTATTTTTATTGACAAATGAACCATAAATCTACCAACAACACAAACCAGATTTGCAAATGAACTTTTGTCTCTTAGGCTCGTTCCTTGTATGGAGTAAAAGACAACCTTTCTTCACAGAATACTTTCTCACTGCTCCCTTGAATTGTGTTGCATTCTTAAATCTCATACCAATTTCAAAGAATGGTACACCCTAAGAAAGATTAAAGTACACATCAGCAGCTCTCCTTTGTCTCACTATATCAACTAAAACAAAAAGCAAATTTTCTTCGTCAGACTCATTAGATGAATCCCTTAACTTCCCAACATCATCACTATTCTCATATTGATTGTCTCTGCCATCATTGTCACTTTCAAACACATCATTCTCAATAGGAATACCTTTAGAAGGATGTATAGGATCTCCTTTCTTCTATTTAGTTGGTTTTGAATCCTTTCCCTTTTGACATTCCCTCCAATGAGGTAGCGTTTTGTACCTTTTTTTTGCAAGTTTTGCCTTCTCTTTCCTCAACCTACTCAACTCAGCAAGATTTGATGATGCAACTTTCTTACCCCTAGAGACTGGAGTAGATCTAGTCGTTGGCTTCTTTATAAGGGTAGATCTAATGCTTGGCTTTTTTATAGGAGTAGATCTAGGGGTTGGCCTCTTTACAACATGCTTGTACTTGACCCCTTGTGGTGTTTGAAGCCCACTTGGAACTTTTAATCCTTCTATTGGTCTCCTAATAGACCTTGCACATTTCTTCAAATTAATAAACTCCTCATCATCTCTATCACTACTACAAAGAGGTTCTACTTCATCATCTGTCGAGCTCTAGTCATGAACATAACCATCAGTTGACCCAAACTCTGATTCTCCACAATTACCTCTATTACCCTTACTACATTCACCTTTCTCAACTGTATTCCTAGTTTTACCCTTACTGCCAATAAGGTACTCTTGGGTTATGTTACCCAAGTCACCTTCATCTACTCCTCCACTAACCTCGCCATCAATACCTTCACTTAGCCTTTTTTCGTGTCCACCTTCCTCTTCACCTACCTTTTCTTCATGTCTACCTTCCTCCTCAACTACATTGTTCTTAACCCAACATAATTGTGGAAAAGCAAGTTAGGCAAAATTGACCTCGTGATCAACATATATATCAACACAACCATCAACACGAACCAGGCACCAAATGTCCCTAATACTGTCATCACCCAACATAATTGTGGAAAAGCAAGTTGGGCAAAATTGAACTCATGATCAACATATATATCAATACAACCATCAGCACGCACCATGCGCAAAATGTCCCTAATACTATCATCGCCAGCCAAACACTTCAATGTGATAACACTTCCTCCAATGGTTGTGTAATACACATTCTTAATTATAACATCTTCATAGCCAAAACTAACAATTGTATCCATGATCACACCAACATTTAACCTATCACAATCAAAGGGTAATGATGTACATTGAGTAGCTTTATACTCAATTGGTGGTCTTGGAACAACTGTCCCACCATGGAAAAACACAACACTCCCTAGAATTCATTCGCCATGCTATTCAATAAAAAATGACAAAAAAAAAAAAGCATTATCTTTTTGAGTGGCCCATAGATTAACGTCAACATTAATATACTAACCATCCCAAACCCACAGTCAAACCTACAAAATGTAAACACTTTATAAAACCCCTAACCCACCCACAACTTTCTATATAGAAAAAAGACACCAAAAGACCAAAAGCAATACTTATTGTCCCTTTGTCCTGATCAACGAAGCCCTTTATCCTATTAACTCAATTTCAGTCTTGAGATTGGACAAGCAATGTCATATCCCCTCCAACTATCGATCAAGAGATTCTCCAAGTACTGCCACAAAGAAACTTGAGATTGGAGATGTTGACTCAATATGCTCTAAGAAGGGGGTGAATTGGAGTTGAAAATTTTTCACCTCTTTGTAACCGCCAAACAAAAATCAAAGAGAGAGTAGAGAAGAAGACTTGCACAATGATTTTATAGAAGTTCAGTCCAACCACTTGGAACCTAGTTCTCTACCTTGGCTTCACTCACCAAGGATTTCCTCCACACTCTCCACTAACAAAATCAAGGGTGGCTTAAAAGAGCCACTCAATCTTTTTACAAGAAGAAGGGTGTTACTCTCAAATCTCACTCCTTTACAAGATAAACCCCAACAATCCTCTCTATAGATCACTCTTGAAAGATTGATTACACCCTTCAAATCACTCACAAATAGAACAATAAGAGGATTACATGTAAAGATCTCTTAAAGATCAAAAACTCAAGTTAAAGCTCATGTAGATAGGTAAGATATTCAATGCAATGCTCTTTAAACTTGCTTTAGATCTTATACCAACTATATTTATAACCCCATGGTCGAAAATAGCCGTTACTAGCCGTTGGGGGTCATTTAATGCTTTGTGGGTTGCTTAATTCAAGTTGCAAAATTGTCAACACAGTCGGTGTACACTTCTAGAGCTCTGCAGGTCGCTTAATTCGAGTTGCAGAATTGTCAGCACAGTCGGCGTACACTTCTAGAGCTAGCTCTGCACAACCGACTTAACTTTTCTACAGCCGACTCTGTGGGTTTCCTGCCTTTTGTTTTCTCCGTAGAGTTAGCTTAAAAATTCTGCATCTGGCTTTGTGGGTTTCTTGCACATTCTGTTTTCTTACATAGCCGGCCGCAAATCATAAAGCCGGCTTCGAAATTCCAACTTTAAACGCATTAAATAATCTTCAAATAACTTGACCGTTATGCATTAAATGCACCCTTGCGGCCAGCTGCAAAGTTGGAGCCAACTTTGCATCTTTTCTTCATGCGCGCCAAACAACTTGCTTTTAAGTTTTAACCCGTAGAGCCGGCTCTCTGCACTTTCACAGCTAGCTGCAAGGTTCAACAGCCGGCTCTTTGCACATTTTCAAGCCTTTTGGTCCATTTTTAGTGCAGTCCAAGTTTACTTACTTTGTAATCTTTTGACATTTTAACTACACACTTAAATGAACCAATTAGTCACTCAACTGTGTTTTGTAATCATCAAAATCATAGGTACAACAGGAGAATCGTGGGATTGGTTTTCATTTACAAGGTTTATAGGTTTACAAGTTTACGGGCTTCTAAGGCTTTTCATTTCCATTTTTAATCTTTAATCAAATAGATAAATTAGGCTTTAGCCGAAAATGAATTTTTATGGAATCTTATAGGTGGAGCCCAGTTGACATATAATGAAAAAGAGAGAAAAATCGCCACGTAGGATTAAAATGGGCGGGAATGGGCCAATTCAACATCCACGTAGGCAAAAAAACCTCCACCGTGTTTAAAATGTTTGAGTAAGCACGACATTAATGGGAAGATGACTGCAGCTGACGTGGCTCGTCAAGTAATGGGTTATTTGTCCAAGTCGAAAACTTTGTGGGTGTATTTGTTTTCGTTTTTTGTTCGGGGGTGGATCTATCCTAGGCACTATAGTTTGGGGGTGGATTTAGGTATTTTGCCTATGATTAATTCCTTCAGGAGTAATTTGTATTGAGGATTGTTAGGTTTGCTTTGCAAAAGAAGTGTGATTTGTAAGAAAACTCATTTTTTTGTAAAAAGATTGATTAACCCTTTTAAGCTACCTTTGTTCATTCTAGTAAAGTGTAGAGGAAATCATCGGTAATTAAAGCTAAGGTAGAAGATTAGATGCCAAGTGGTTGGCCTGAACCTCTATAAAATTTTTTTGTTAGCTTCTTATCTATTTTCTCTTTGATTTTTACTTTGTGGTTGCAAAAAGGAGGAAAATCTTGAAACTCCAACGCACCCCCCTCCTAGAGTGCATTGAACCAACACACAATCAATTGAATGTGAAACATTACAACTTGACATATTGGATATGAATTGACATGTTTTTACGTGGTTATTTACTTGTATCTTACCTATACTTTACCTTTCATTAATATTTCTTGGGACTCATTCTCTTAGGTTATTCTCTTATATATTATATTCATATATCTATTTTACATTTACCCTCATGTTCTCTCTATATATTAATAATTTATTTATTATTAATCTTGTTCTCTCTTTATCCATATTTCCCCAATATTTTCTTTCATAGTCACTCTTTGCATCTCTAGTAATATTATTTTTACCCCAATTTCTCTCTCTCTCTCTCTCTCTCTCTCTCTCTCTCTCTCTCT